CCGGCCCTCAATCTCTGCTCAACCTCTTCATTCTCGCTTATCTCCTCTATCCTCACGCCCTGACGGTCTTCTACTTCCTGCCAAATACGGAAAGCGGCCGGAGGAGCTGGTGGAGCTGGGGCATTTGCACGCCGCARAGCTTCTTCCCTTATCCCTCCTGGGATTCTCGGGTCTATGCACTCACCGTACATGTCGAAAAAATCACCATCATAGCTTGAGCTCATCAGGCCATCCTTTTCATCACTCTTTCGGACCTGACAGAACTTAATTGTGTGGCCCTTCTGGCCACAATGCCAACAGATGGCATTTCTCCAATCTACCCTTCCTCTTCCATATCCTCCACCACCTTGCTGGTCACTCTGACTCCCCGCACCGTTCCCCCCGTCACTTCCTCCTCTCTGGGAGTTACTGTTCGCGCTTCCTCTCCCATATCCCCCGCGGCCACCATTTCCTCGCCCTCGGCCCCATCCTTGATTCTAACCTCGTCCACCACCTTGATTCCCTTGTGATCCTTGTGGGGCCAACTGCTGAGGTTGGTTTGGCGGTGGGTTCGAGTGACTCACCTGTTGAGACTGGGGTCCCGGCCATCCACAGAAAGCCGTACTCATCGGCGCTCCGGCACATGATCCATGCGGTCCACCCGTTGGCCATGGTGCACATGAACAGTGCCCATGCCAATGACTGGGAGGTCCACAACCTGGCCATGACCCATAGGGTGCTGGTGCGGCTTGACTAGACGATTCAGGGGTGGCGCCACTACAGCCTGCGGGGCTTGACCTTTTCCTGGGCCTTGCCCCCCATGAGTCGTGTTCCTTGCCTTCCTTTGAGCCTTTGTCAACTTTTGTGGTTCAGGCTCTTCTTCTTCTTCCTCCTCCTCCTCTAACACTACCACCTTCTTTCCTTTCTCTTGGGCTTGTGGCGCCGCCATAGCCTTCTTTCTTGCCTCCTTCTCTGCATCGTGCTGGGCCACAACCTCTTCTATCATTAGCTTGAAGTTGCGCCCATCACTAGCGATAGTATCCAAAGTCTTCCTTTTCTTCCTAGCCTGTTTCATCTGGAAGATGTCTACCTGGTCCAACTCTCCCTCTAGCACGCCTTCTTTTATGGCACCCCAAGTCAATTTTTTTCCTGGCGCAGCTTTCTTGGTAAGGGACGAGGCTTCCCAATTCTTAAAGTGCCCCAGGAAAGTGGCACACTGTTCTTCTTCCGCCAGCCCTGGGACTTTCTTTGCCATCTTCTCAAATGCTGTGGCAAAGGGCCCTACCGTGGAGAACTCATCCCGTCTCAACATTTCCAGGTCTTCTTTTGTGAGCAGGCCGTCCCCTAACTTGAAACGCCTCTGCATCTCCTCTTTAAACCTTGCCCACTCACCATTTGCGCCGACCGCTACTTTTATTACCTCAGGTCTAAGCTCCCACCATACGTACCTAGGCATCAGCTTGAATTTGTCTGCTTCTGACGCCTCGCTAGTGACCTGCTCCAACAACTCAAGCCACTCGGACACTCTATCCCCGTTGAAGTGAAAAATGTTAACCTTGGGCACCTAAAGCCGTGCCATCTCTCTTTTTTCCAATGCCTTGACGAAGTCCTCAGATGTAGCACCCGGACCCCGCTCGATTCCATCGGAGTCCGGCATCTTTGTCCTTTCTCAAAACCTGTTGCGAAAAAAACGATTTCGACAAACAACCTGCCGTCAAACCTCTAAACTCTCTAGTTCCATTATTCAATCGGACATACTTTTAATAACTAAGGTAGTCTATCCGACCTTTATATCATAATTCCAACTCTATTATTTGAAACGAATACACACAAGGCACACTCTCAACCTTACTCGCAATCAAAAATAAATTTTGATAGGCCATCGAAGATAGCACAATGCTCTTATCATCGTCAAACTTCTTCATCAAAGGTTGTCATTTTGCCTGGATCATCTGCCTGCTCTTAACCTGGGTTCATTCACTGTGGACCCCGGTAGGCAGCCGAGATCCCCGGCAACGGCGCCACCTGTCGAGCGCATCGATCCCGCACGAGGACCCTCCCGGCCGCGTCACGCAGGATTTTGCAGGACTTTGTCGCAGAGTGTTTTAGCCGCTCCGGCCGAGTGCGCCAGTCGTACCTCTCGCGAGCCCCTACGACAGGACAGGGTCATGCGAGGCACCGCTTACCTCCACCTGCGGGAGCTGTCACCATCCCTTAGGTGGGCTATCCCTGCCGAGCTACTGAACCACATGCGAAAGTTTTTCGTATGCAATTGCAGAGGTGGCCCAGCCGAGGGCGTTTCTCGCTCGCTGTAGCATAGGGGGTTACGCGCGGTTGAACGCCTGAAAATCGAACCCGCACGCGAATCGACATACTGGGTGGCTGAGGTCCCAAACGCGACTCGGCGCCGGTCGACTAGGACGCATCACACACACCACGCGTTACACCACAAGACTCACATCTATCCACACATAACACATGGAAAAACACAAAACAAACACAACATCACAACACTCCTAGTCCCTTCAGTATCGGACTCATAACTTCATGCTGCAAGAATCAGGTAGGCATCGCGCGATGAACTTTTGTATAAGAGTCGTGCGTGCTCATGACCCCCTCATATCGACCAGCCATGTGGATATTCGCAAACATTTGCGCTGATGGGGTACTATGTGGTACTCGTAGCCTTGCGGCCCTTGATAATCTCGAGGGTCGCGTTCGACGCTCAAGTGTCGGTTGACAGGCGCTTTGAGGGGTTATCTCTCGACGCCAGACAACCGCCATGTGCGGTTGAAGACCACACCCTCTTCTGCACCCTGTGCAGAGGGGTTGAGTAGACAGCTCCAGAGCTGTCGTGGTAGCCAAAATCAAGGGGTTTGACTTTGACGGCTACCACGGACTACAACGTCCAACCAAGAAAACTTAAAAAAGGAAACAACTACAGATAGAAAAAAGGGGGGATCACCCTATTTCATCTCTCTGTCTAGCTCATAGTCTAATAACAGTCTCCAACGGAAGGTGTAGGCCAACCCGTGAGATGCGTGCGGATGGTGCCCAAAGCTGGACCCATAGGCAACCCGTTGTTCGAGGCGTTGGAGGCTCGTACGCGAGCCCTCATACGTCGACTGGGATTGATATCTCGCCCACGTGCTGTTTCGCGCTATTAAAACTCGGGTCTACTAGCCATAACGCGCCTTTGCCTTTTTCGAATCACCCATAACTTTCAGGTGTGGAAATCGGAAAGTGTCGCGCGCGCGGGTTAACATAAGGCCGCGCGACCAGAGGACTTACTCATATCGACCAACAATGCAGATTTGCGTAAGCAATCGTGATGTCGGCGCACCATGTAGTGCCCATACCCGAGTGGCCTCGTTTAAGCCATGGGGTCGCTTTCGATGCTCAGGCGTCGGCTGAAGCGCACGCTAAAGGGGGTAAACCTTTAGCGAGCGCAAAAACCGGCCTGGGGGCCTTACCGTCTTCAGCACCCTGAGGTGTCCCAAGGGGCGGAGACAGGGAAGATGGAGGAGAGCGAGACCAAGATTGCCCTCCTCCTCTCCCATCTCACGGACCTCCTTGCGACATGCATCGCGCAGCAGGAGGACATTCACAGCCTCGATGCCGAAGTCAAGAGTGTTCGCAGCCGCGTATAGCAGCTGGAGCAACGACCAGTCGCCGCCTCTGTGGCAAGCTCCTCCAACACATCAGACCGCCTGGACGCACTGGAGACTGACGTCAGCACACTCAAGGACGGCGCACGACTACAACAAACCACTACTCAACAATTGGAGCAGCGGGTCTGTGCTGCCGCCGCCAGCCCGAGTTCCGGACAGCGCGAGTCAACTCTCAAGTTTGACGGTCAGGAGATCTTCTGCAATTCAACAAAGACGGATCCAGTTCAGTGGTTCCGCAAGTTTGAACTCACGTTGCAGCTGCACCTCGTCAGCAAATGCAAGCACCACACGTACTTATACTCCCGGTCGGGAGGCGCATGCCAGGCATGGCTGGACAATCTCTTGTCCCAGTACAGGGTGGTCGCTGACGAGTTACACACGAAGATCAACTGGGAAGACCTCAAGGCGGCGTGGTACAAGCGGTTCCAAGTGGAGCCGCCGGAAATCAAGGCCATGGACAAGCTCATGACCTTCGAGCAAGGCTCGCTGCCAAGCGTCGACTGGATTGCCGAGTACCAACGCTTGACATCCGTCCCAGGTCTCCCGATGGGCTTCAAAGCCATCAAGCACTACTTCATTTCGAGGTCGTGCCCGGCGTTGAGCAACGCCTTGACGCATGTCGAGGACACACTGACAACGACGGCGCAACTGTTCGACAAGGCCGCACAGATTATCATCACGAACAAGGAGGCGAAGAACCTCACTCGTGCTGCGGCAGGCCCGAGCAAGGACCAGCATCGGCCCACGGTGGCCGTGGTTGCGGCGGCATCGCCAAGCAGCCAATCTAGCGAGGCGGAGTCTGCCAATGAAGGAGACAGACTCGCAGCAACCCGGGATGGTGGCCGCCCCGACCGAGGCCGAGGACGTGGCAAATCGAAGACAAACACCACATCAAACCCCGGGCCCCGCGCAGCAGCTCAGGGGCCCTGGCCCCCTACGGTCTTTCAGAGCAAGCTTACAAGCAACGCACGAAGTACCGTTACTGCCTGTGGTGCAACAGCGACTGCCACGAGACAGCGGGCTGCCCTACCAAGGGGAAGGGCAAGCAAGGAAACTGAGCGCCGCCGAGAGTGAGTCGACGACACTCTCGACGCCTTCGAAACCGGTTTCTTCGCGAGTGACCGGCCTTCATTCCGGGGCGCATGCGGAAGTCGACAATCCTCTTCTCTATTCTTTTGAGGACTATGCTGCCCGGCTCGTTCCGGCGCTGGGATCTTTTGCTCAAGGACAAGACGTGTGTGCGGCATCTTCTCCGTCCGGCAACGGTTCTTCTTCGTCTTCAAGTGATTCTTCACGGGATTCGGCGCGCGGGTTCAACATAGAGGAATTGGACCCGCTCAAGTCTGGGGATTTCGCATGGCTTCCTCTCCCGACCACGGGCCGCTTACCGGGACCGCAATGCGCAGCACTCTGTGCCCATCTTCACAAGTACTTGTCCTTCTATGCACCACCAACTTCACCGACGGATGACGAGGTCGCGGTGGGGGACATCTTGGCATATGTTACCAAGGTGGCCCGCGAGTTTCGCACACAGCGGTACGACGACAATAATGCACCGCTGATGTATGTCCGCATCCAAGTTGGGCAGGCGTCCTGCAGCGCTTTGCTGGATAGCAGCGCGACTCGCAACTTCATGAGCCAAGCTTTTATGCAAAGGGCTGACCTCGGCGTGCAGGTTCGGAGGAAGGCAAACCCGACGGCGATCAAGTTGGCGGATGGAAAGACGCAACAACTTCTCGACCGTTACATCGAGGCCGTATCGGTGTACTTCGCACCTCATGCATGCGAACCGGTCACGTTCGACATCTTGGACACGGACTTCGATATCATTCTGGGAATGCCTTGGCTTGCAAGTGCGGATCACACGGTCAACTTTCACCAGCGGACTCTCACCGTTCGCGACGCCTTCGGCGCCGAGGTGCCGTGTACTATTCCTCTTCCGCACCCTTCGATCCGGTGCCAAGTCGTGACGGCCAAATCGTTCCGAACTACATGTGCATATGAGCAACCCGAAGAGATAAGCCTATGTTTCTTGCGGACTAGCGCGGTAGCCGACTCTTCACCATCGGACTTGTCTTCGGACCCTCGCGTGGTACGGCTGCTTGATGAGTTCGCCGACATCTTCGAGTCACCTACYGRTGTGGTGCCGGATCGGCCGATCTCTCACGAGATCATTCTTGAGGCCGGTGCCGTGCCGCCGAAAGGTTGCATCTATCTGATGAGCGAGGAGGAACTGGAGGTCCTTCGCTCACAACTTGACGACTTGTTGGCCAAGGGCTGGATCCGCCCTAGCAGCTCCCCATATGGAGCACCAGTTCTCTTTGTAAGGAAGAAGAACAAGGATCTACGTCTGTGCATCGACTACCGCAAGCTCAACGCCCAAACTGTGAAAAATGCGGGGCCTCTCCCTCGTATCGACGATCTTCTTGACCGACTGGGCGGTGCTAAGTTCTTTTCCAAGTTGGACTTCAAGTCGGGGTATCATCAGATTTCGATACGCCCGAATGATTGCTAGAAGACCGCATTCAAGACGMGGTATGGGCATTTTGAGTGGGTGGTCATGCCTTTTGGCCTCACCAATGCCCCGGCAACCTTCCAGGCGGCCATGACCCACGAGTTTCGTGCTATGTTGGATCGGTTCGTGCTGGTCTACCTAGACGACATTCTCGTCTACAGCCGGACTCTGGAGGACCATCTTGAGCATCTTCGACGTGTGTTGGAGACGCTCCGCCGTGCCAAGTACCAAGCCAACCGCGACAAGTGCGAGTTTGTCCGGCAAGAGCTTGAGTACTTGGGCCATTTTGTCACACCAGAAGGCATCAGCCCGCTATCGGAGAAAATTCAAGTCACCCAGGAGTGGCCGGAGCCGCGTAACGTCACGGATGTCTGTTCGTTTCTTGGTCTTGCCGGCTACTATCAGCGCTTCATCAAGGGCTATTCGAAGATCGCGGCCCACTTGACCAAGCTTCAATCTGAGGATCGGCCGTTTGACTTCGACGAGGATGCGCGGGAATCTTTCTTGGCTCTCAAAGCTGCACTTTTGTCAGCGGAGGTCTTGCGAATCTATGACCCGGTATTGCCCACACGCGTCACTACTGATGCGTCCGGCTATGGTATTGGCGCTGTCCTCGAGCAACACGATGGCGTGGACTGGCACCCGGTCGAGTATTTCAGCAAGAAGGTGCCCGCCGTGCACTCTATTGATGACGCGAGAAAGAAGGAATTATTGGCCTTCGTACACGCACTCAAGCCCTGGCGGCATTTCCTTCTTGGTAGACGGCAGTTCCGATGGGTAAGAGACAACAATCCGTTGGTCTTTTACAAGACCCAGGACACAGTCAACAACACCATTGCCCGGTGGATGACCTTCATTGACCAGTTTGACTTCTTCCCTGATCACATTCCGGGCAAGTCAAACCGTTTTGCGGATGCTCTTTCACCACGTCCGGACCATTGCACCGCCGTCTACTCGACTCTCGAGATTGATAACGACTTGCGGGACAATTTTATCCGCGGCTACCAGGCCGACCCCGAGTTTCGCGACAAGTACGCAAATTGTTCCTCGCCCAATCCGTCACCTTCTCACTATCGGATCCAGGAGGGATATTTGCTTGTCCACTCGCGGAGGAAGGATCTTCTTTGCGTACCGAGTGACCCTCACTTGCGTACACGGCTTCTTGGCGAGTTCCACGATGCTCCCGCCACCGGACATTTTGGCGTCAATCGAACGATTGGCCGACTTCGCGAGCGATTTTGGTGGCCCGGTCTTCTCGACGACGTCACACGCTACTGCGAGTCATGCGAGATTTGTCGACGTTGCAAATCCCGCAATCATCGTCTGTATGGCGAGTTGCGACCACTACCGGTTCCCTTGTGCCGACGGGAGGCGATTGCCATGGATATCACTGGGCCATTCCCCAAGCACAAGACCAGTATGGATGGGATTCTCACGGTAGTCGATCGACTCACCAAGTTTGCCATGTTTTTGCCTTGTCGCTATCATGCCAAGGCACCAGAGTTGGCCGAGGTTCTCTACGCCGGTTGGATTCGAACCAAGGGTTACCCCAAGGAAATCGTCTGCAACCGCGACACTCGGTTCATGTCTGATTTTTGGTTGGTGCTCACCAAACGATGGGGCTCATCTCTCAAGCCTAGTTCAGCTCGCCACCCTCAGACGGATGGCCAGACGGAGAGGGCGCACCAGACGGTACAGGTTCTCCTTCGCACTCTCATCCGTCCCGATCAGAAGGATTGGGTTGAGCGGCTGTCGGATGTCGAATTGGCCTACAATTCGTCCATCCACCTGGCTATTGGGATGTTGCCTTTCGAGTTTGAGCATGGCTCTCCGGTCACTTTTCCGTTGGACACCATCGTTCCACGCACGGCTGAGAGCGACGACCATCTCCTTTTCTTGCGTCGGATGCAAGAGCTTCTTGTCAAGGCACGCAATCAGATGGCAAAGACGCAGCAACGCATGAGCCAGCAGGCCAATCGCCAGCGTCTTCCTTGTTCATTCCGCGCCGGCGACCTCGTGTGGGTTTCCGCCGCGGAATTCAGCCTTAAGCAGGATATCTCTCGCAAGCTCCTCCCGAAATGGATGGGGCCATGGCCGATTGTAGCACCTGTTGGGGATGCACCTGAGGGACCTTCCTTCACAGTTAAGGTGCCCGCCCACTTGCCCGTCTACCCAGTTTTCCATTGCTCCAAGTTGGCGTTGTACACACCAGCAGACCAGGATGACTTTCCCGGGCGACGATTGCAAGACCCACCCTCTATGGACGGCTTTGAGGAGGTTGGTGACATCATTTCCCAGCGACGCTACGGTAGCAAGCCGACCGAGTATCTGGTACACTTTGCGTATTGCACCCACCGAGCCGACCGCTAGTTGACCCGTGCGGAACTCCAAGCGACAACTCCAGATGTTCTCGTAAGGTATGAACGAAAGATATAAGGCAAGCCGGTATCTTCGGCTCCACGCCGCAACCGCGTCCAGGTTCCACCTTCAGATCGTTGGCTGCGCCCTCGACCCGGCTTGACTTCATAAGGAGGGGGGGGTGTTACATGCTGCGCCTGTACAGGAGGGCCATTTTCCAGGCCCTGCGTCATTCAGGCTGGAAGCCTGAATTTTGGGCTCAAGGCCTGGAAATAAGGGCCTGCAGACCCCATGACGGTTCACCCCAAAAGCCTGACATCCGGGGCCCACAGGCCCTGCATCATTTCAGCTAAAAAAGGCCTGAGCCTTTTCAGCCTGAAACTGAGGGTTATTTCCGGGCCTGCAGACCCCATGACGGTTCAGCCCAAAAGCCTGACATTCGGGGCCCACAGGCCCTGCATCGTTTCATCCAAAAATAGGCCTGAGCCTTTTCAGTTTGAAACTAAGGGCTAGCACGGACAGGTTGGGACAGACGAGAGGAGACTGCCCAGGCACTCAACGTGCACTTCTACAGGAGGCCGTAGTCTTCAGGATTTGGCTGCAGTAGTAGAGTAGCGTTAGCAGTAGTCTTCAGCGTTGGGCGCTAGTAGCAGTAGACCAGAGTAGTGGAGAGAGGAGGCTGCAGGAGGCCAGGGATGCTTACCTGTGGCGCCATAGCTCCAGCTTCGTCTTCGAGGTACCTGCAGCAGAGCGCCACTCACCGAGTGACTTACCTGAGGCGCCATAGCTCCAGCTCGCMAGCRAGGTAYCTGCAGCACAGCGCCACCATCMCCKRTTAGTACMTGGCATCCAGAAGAGAGAGAGAGAGAGTTCTTCCTCTTCCTCCTCTCAGTCCACCATCTCTCTCCTACCCTCTCACTATCTGACTTCACTGCTTCGGCAGCCTACGAGAGTGAGAGTGGTTTACTTGCAGGGCTACAGGTAGGGGTTGTCACGGGCATTGGCCCAGGATCTGGTTCAACATTTTTGAGCAGACATTTGGTTCGACTTCGACAAGGGACTATTTTGAACTTCGCTATTGTGATCTTAGTCTTCTCCCTTGCCTCCATCTTCGTCCTTCCTTCCCCCCTCCATCTCTCATCCTTGGTATCTCCCCATGTGCGTGTATGCAGGAGGGACCTTCTTCTATGTATGCAGTCCCTTCCCTCCCTCTCACATGTGTGATGTATGATGGGATGTCGTAACAGTCCAGGTCAGGTCAKGACYTATCTCCAAGTCTTCCGCTGTGCTATTAAATGCCATTGTTCATGTATCGGGATGTACACTGTCTGTTGATATTACGTTAGCAGTCCACTGTCCATTCAGTCCTTTTCATCACAGTGCGGATCCTTGGCTGAACTCTCAGTGCCTGACTGGGCATGTAACATGGCAGCTCATTTTGACATTAAATTTTGTCCAACAAAGTTGCGTGGTAAAATCGTAGGCAGGAAGGGAGAATATATATGTATGCAGGGTAACCGGCGTTCGGGACGGGCCGAATGCCAGAACCCGAACGCCCGAACGTATGGGACCCCTTGGAGATGCGTTCGGCCAGTCGGGCCAAACGCGGACCCAAAAAAAAAAAAAAAAAAAAAAAGTTAAACAAGTTATAAAAAAAATCTGAAAAAAGGATATGTTATGGAGAAAAATGAATTAAACACGATTTGCCTGAGCATTACATCCGAATTCCTTACCAAATTTGAAGTAAAAATAAAATATGGAGAACAAATACTAATAATAAAAATAAATAAAAATAAAAAGAGAATTAAATTTAGTGAGTGCGCGAGCATGTTTTTGACACCACCATCTTTGGCGATGTTTTATTTTTTATTTGGCATAGCTAAATGCGCTGAAAATTTACAGATGTGTACTTCAAATAATACAAAACCCACAAAAAAAGTTTTAAAAAATAATAAAATTGTTTAGACCCCGAACTAAAGTGAAAACAAAAAGTAAAAAGTGAAAAAATACGTGGGCGAGCACGTTTTGACACCGCCATCTTTGGCGATTTTTAATTCTTATTTGGCTTAGCAAAATGACTTGAAAATTTACAGGCATAAACCTCACGTCATAGAGAACTCACAAAACAACGTTCAGAAAAAACTAATTATTTTAAGGCCCCGAAATAAGTTCTGGCGGGGGCCGAACGCCGTCGAGTTCGGACCCCGTACGGGACCCCGAACGCCCGTACGTACGGAGGTCTGCCCGGGGACCTCCGTACGTACGGGCTGGTGACCCTGTATGTATGTATGTACGCATATATACATATATATGCATATTAAATATGCATATATACATATGAACAGGGTTACGTGACCAAATGTTCGTGGGGGCCAGGGCTGGCCCCCGAACGTGTGACGAACCACTTCCTGAACCCGTGCCATCTTTCGTACCCCTTCTTTTGCTTGTGTCATACCAACCCCCAGATAAAACCCCGTTTCGATTTCTTGTTTCTTCTCTGAAAACTTTTTTGACTTCTGGGATCTATTTCTCTTTTTTGTAAGTCGGGAAATACATGGGAAGTTGCATGCGCTGTAGCGAGCGCAATGGGAATTGGGCTCGGCAATTGGGAATTTCGGGATAAGTGGAACTTCGATGTGTCCTTTTCGAGTTTGTGAATGTTCTTGGGCGCGTCAGGAAAAACTCTCGGAATTTTGCGTGAATACGAATAGGCGTAGGATTTTCGTTTCCCACGTCGCTTTTCGCGCGCGGATATGGTGATTTCAATTTTGAATTAGGAGAGAAGCAAGCCGTAACTGTTTCGGTGCCTTTTTCTTTCTTTTTGTTGACGGCGCCACGTATGCAGAGCTTTCTCCTCTCTGTCCCCCCCGCATCGCTCCCACCCACGCCTCCCTAAGGCTTTCTTCCCTTCTCTCTCCTTTTTCTCTCTCCCCGTAACTGTTTTTCTTCTCTCCCTCTCTCTCCCGCCTTGCTTTTTGCTTGCCCATTTCCCTTTCTTGATCATCTGAATCTTGGACCCGTCTTGCGCTACTTCTCGCGCCTTTTCTCTTCTCACCACCCTGAGTCTGACGCACGACGCCCGGTCGATCCATCGATAACTCCCGCTCGCCAATCAAGTGCGCAGATCAATAGGACCTTCCTATTGCGCGGCGAATCTGATTGGTTGAACCTTGAGTTTCGACGGATCAACATGGCGTTCGTAGAGCATTCTTCTCAAAGTCTTCTCCTCCTGCTTCTCCTCTTACACCTCAGCTTTCCTGACACCCTCTCCCCCTTCTTTCTCCCCTGTCGCAACTATAAAACCTGCAAGCGCGTCCGCAAATCTCTCTTACGTTCTCGACTCCTAAGCCAGCTTCCGGGAAGYAGTGGCTAGGCAGAGTGGGTTGATGCGAGTCGGAAAGTCCTGTCGGGCTGACGATAGGCTGGCCGGTTGCGCGCTTGATCGCCACGACGGACTGTGGGATCCGGGGGAACCGTGTCGAGTTTACGACAGCGGGGTGAGGATCGCAGTGGTGGGAGTTAGCACGCGACGGCCGGGATCGTCGGTGCGAGTATGAGGATCGATGATTGGAGTTGAGTGAGTGATTGGCCCGGGACCATACTGGAATTAACGGCGAATGCGCCTTTGTTGTGGATTTTTATCCTTGGTCTGAGTGTACGGCGGCGACGCCGAACTTTCCTCTTCTCGGACGTTGTCATCTTCTATTTTGATTTTCTTATCCTCGACTCTCTCTCTCTCTCTCTCTCTCTCTCTCTCTCTCTCTCTCTCTCTCTCTCTCTCTCTCTCTCTCTCTCTCTCTCTCTCTCTCTCTCCTTTTTTGAGTGAGAATGTGTCTGAGTGATTGTCTCTCTCTCTTGAATGAGAATGAGTTGGCATCTTGTTCTATGTGAAAGAACTTCTTCCGGAACTCTTCCATTAGTTTCCTGGGTAATCCTCCTACGCAATGACCCTGTCTACTTGTCTTGTGAACGGTGGATGCATGTGTACTGTGCAATGCGATCCATCTCTTCTTGTGCATGTCTCATTTTCGCACCTTCCACAGTGAATGCATGTATGAAACGTGTGACTCTTTCCGAGTTGATTAGGCGGTTGTTATTGGTTGTCATGGGGATTTTTGTTTGAGAATGCAAGAGTGTGTAGATCTGTAGCGCCGAATGCACTGCGCATGCCAAATGCCTTATGTTGCACGACATCAGCCGCCAAGCCACCAGGCGGTCGTGGGAAACAGGGCGCCAGGGACCAGCGTTGTGTTGAACTGAGTCGCTGGTCGGTCCCTTAGCCATATACATGATCGAGCTGATGTGTGTTTGCTCTCTCTCTCTCTCTCTCTCTCTCTCTCTCTCTCTCTCTCTCTCTCTCTGTCTCTTGTGTCAGAAGGATTGATTGGGGGTCGCGCGAATCACTTCTGTTCTTAATGACGTCTCGGGATATTTGTGGTTGATTGACATGTGGACTGACAAGTACTCCTCGATTGGGCGCCAGCCTCCCGTATCTCCCATCCCAACGCGACCTTTTCCCTACAGTGAGGAAAGGACACRTGTRTGTGAATGGGACGTACGAGAARCCGTCGCACAAATCGGCGGRCACTATTACTTCCCTCCGGCCGACCGTTGCTTAGGGTTCGTAGACGCCGGATTTGTCATTRTCGATACGCACTTTCCACCCTACTCGATATTGTTGCCGTTTAACGAGYTGATCGTYATTCCGTGGACRGCAGTGGCGCCCCATTGGCCCCGCACTCTGTGCACGGAGTGCCAACGCTTTGATCGCTACGAAGCGAAGGGCTTTCACTACCGAATACGGAGTGAGGACGAGCATAAGGAGAGAGCCACTCGGCTGAGACCATCCACGTCGGACTCGGAACTGACCAGCGAACGACGACGAGATCTGATACGAAAACGAGATACGTGAAGCGTGCCCGAGCCTTTCCGTTCCAAACGACGGGCTGTAGCACGGTGGGAAGCCCGACAGTACTTTTTGGATTGAATAAGGATCTTTCTGTTTTCGCGCCATATCCGCGCGCGCATTCTGCGACGCGCGAAACTAATCGACTTGCTTCATCAGATCATCACGGGGGATTTCAGTTCCGTC